TATGTGAGAACGTTCTAAACCTAGGCTAAAACCGGAGGAAGATATCTTTCAGAGTTTTGAAAAGAGGGTAGAAATATGGCAGAAATATGAGATACTCTCTAAAATGTATCAAAAATTTAGATGATATAGTAAGAAAAGAAACCAAAACTTTTCATGATCACAAAGAGAAAAAAAGTCTTTAAAGATGTTACCATGTCACTAACTCTTGAAACAGTGCCTGGCATGTAGGACGTCAATATGTACTCAGTGAATGAATTTGTTGAGCACAAGTTGAAGAAGAAGGCAGGAGGGAAAGGACAGAGAGGTCTGAGAACCAGACTTTCTGAGAATCAACAGGAAAGGTCTTTTGGGGAACTGAGGAGGATATGAGAGTTGGACTTCAGAAGTAGGGTGGATGTATTAGTTTATCAGGGCTGCCATAATAAAATACTCTACTACAAATTGGATGACTTCAAAAAACAGAAATGTATTGCCTTATAGTTCTGGAGTCTACAAATAAAAAAATCAAGCAGGGCTATGCTCCTTCTGAAACCTATAGGGGAATCCTTCCTTGCCTCTTGCTAGCTTCTGGTAGTTTGCTGGCAATCTTTGGCATTCCTGGGCTTACATCTGCATAACTCCAGTCTCTGCCCTTATTGTAACGTGGTGTTCTCCCTGTAGACAGAGGTCTTCAGATGCCATCTTCATGTAAGGACAGTAGTCATGTTGGATTAGGGGCCCACTCTACTCCAGTATGACTTCCTCTTAATTAAATACATCTGCAGCAACCTTATTTTCAATTAAGGCCACAATCTGAGGTACTGCAGGTTAGGACTTCCGTGTGTCTTCAACTATCTTTTTGCAGGCAACACAATTCAACTCATAATAGTGGGCACTAAAAAGTCAAAATGAGACCCACATTAGGATGACTATTATTTTTTTAAAAGGAAAATAACAAGTAATGGCAAGGATGTGAAGAAATTGGGAACCCTTGTGCATTGCTGGTGGGAATATAAAATGTTGCAGCCACTGTGGAAAATAGAATGGTAATTCCTCAAAAAATTCAACGTAGGGCTGGGCACAGTGGCTCACAACTGTAATCCCAGCACTTTGGGAGGCTGAGGCGAGAGTACTGCTTGAGGCCAGGAGTTTCAGACCAGTCTGGGTAACACAGCAAGACCTGTCTCTACAAAAAATTTAAAAATTAGCCAAGTGTGGTTGTACATACTTATAGTCCTAACTACTCAGAAGGTGGGAGGGCTGCTTGAACCCAGGATGTCAAGCCTGAAGTAAGCTATGATCATGCCACAACACTCCATTCTGAGCAATGGAGTGAGACCCTATCTCAAAAAAAAAGAAAAGAAAAAAGAAACAAACAAACAAACAAAAAAACAATAATTAAATGTAGAATGACCATATGATGCAGCGAGTCCACTTCTGGGTATATATTTGAGGAAGCTGAAAGTAGGGACTCTAACACATATTTGTACACTCATGTTCACAGCAGCATGATTTGCAGTAGCCAACAGTTGAAAGCAACCCAAGGGTCCGTTGAACAATAAATGGAGAAACAAAATTTGGGATATACATACAACGAAATATTATTCAGCCTTGAAGACATTATGCTAAGTGAAATAAGCTGGTCACAAAGGGACAAATATTTTTTGGTTCTACTCACATGAGGTACTTAGAATAGTCAAATTCATAGAGACAGAAAGTAGAATGGTAGTTGCCAGGGTATGATGCAAGGGTGTATTAGTTCGTTTTCACACTGCTATGAAGAACTGCCTGAGACTGGGTAATTTATGAACAAAAGAGGTTTAATTGACTCGCAGTTCCACATGGCTGGGGAGGCCTCAGGAAACTTACAATCATGGAGGAAGGTGAAAGGGAAGCAAAGTCCGTCTTACCCAGTGGCAGGAGAGAGAGAGAGAGTGAAGGGAGAAGTGACACTTCTAAGCCATCAGATATTGTGAGAACTCACTCACTATCACCAGAACAGCTTGGGGGAAATCACCCCCACGATTTAACCACCTCCCACCAGTTCCCTCCCTCTACACATGGAGATTACTATTCAAGATGGGATGTGGGCAGGGACACAGAGTCAAACCATATCAGAAGGGTACATGGGGAGTTAGTGTTTAATGGTACAGAGTTTCAATTGGGGAAGATGAAAAAGTTCTGGAAATGGATGGTGGTGATGATTGCACAAAAATATGAATGTCCTTATGCCATCAAACTGTGTGTTTTAAAATGGTAAATTTTATGTTACACATATTTTACTGGCCAGGCGTGGCGGCTCATGCCTGTAATCCCAGCACTTTGGAAGGCCGAGGCAGGGGATCACCTGAGGTCAGGAGTTTGAGACCAGCCTGGCCAACATGGCAAAACCCCATCTCTACTAAAAATACAAAAATTAACCAGGCATGGTGGCATGTGTCTGTAGTCCCAGCTACTCAGGAGGCTGAGGCAGGAGAATCACTTGAATCGGGAGGCGGAGGTTGCAGTGAGCCAAGATCGTGCCACCGCATTCCAGCCTGGGTGACAGAGCGAGACTCCATCTCAAAGGACATAGCTTACACGACAGTGTGAACAATACTGAGCTGTACACTTAAAAATGGTTAACATGGTAAATTCTGCGTTGTATGTCTTTTAACCACAATTTTAAAAAATCAAAATAAGGATTTGATAAAGGGGTCCCTGAAGGCAAAGAATAGGGATTAGAAGAAAGCTATGAAAGTGCTCTGAAAAAGTAAAGGAAAGGGCAGCAAAATAAGACAGTTAAATGATAGTATGTTTCCTTCTTTTGGAACATAAGGAATTTTGGAGGTCAAATTTCCCATGCATTGTACTAGGTATTATTATCTGATGAGGAACTAGTCTCTAAAACCTGTGCCCTTTGGCTAGGCGCGGGTTCTCTGATTGAAAGTTGGACCACATGACTTTCAAGGTCACTTTTGATTCTTGGAGATTCTATCATTTTAGGGAACTTATCCAAGGCTGCACACACTAGGCCCAAACTGGATGTATTGTGGTTCATGGAAAGAGCCCAGGACTTACATCAGAGCCCTGGTTTGGGTCCATGCAGCAGTTTCTCTGCCTTTAATAACCCTGTGTTTCTCATCTGTGAAAGTACGCTAATAATTCTTAACTTCTCAGGGATTGTAGGGATGCAATGATATATATGAAAGCAATTTTTTACCAACTCAGGAAGCTATTTATTAGACCTTATTTGGGACTATTCATAACTCACCTCAAAAGTTCAGGATATCTAGTAATATATAGCAAGGACAGCAATCTTACTTTACTGAGTGGCTGTAAAGGTAAAATCCATATAAATTATATGGTGAGAAGCACAGGCAGGCCCTAGCCCTCCACCAGAACCCAAAGCTCACATTAGGGGGCTTAGGCATCCTCACAGGTTTCTAGCTTCATTCTACTTGTATGCCATGGATCTATAATTATTCTTTACAGCATATGGCTCAATAATACATTTTTGTTTTGCAAGAACAGAACAATGAATTTTCTTCCTAAATGAGTTTAGAGTGAGCAGTCAACACAATGCCTCATCACATTCAGTGTTTGAGTGTGATTTTCTAAGAGGCAAGTACATGATCCTACACAATCACAACACAGCCTAAAAGTCAGAAAATTAACATTGATGAGTCACTACCATCTAATCCTCAGGCCCACTCAAGATTTTCCAGTTGTCTCAATAATGGCCTTTATAGCAAAACAATTCAGCCCAGGATCACATATTATATTTAATTGTCACATCTCTTTAGTCTTCTTCCATTTGGAACAATTCCAGGGTCTTTCCTTAATTTTCATGACCTTAATACATTTAAACTTTTAAATAGGACAAATCCAGCCCGGTCACTCACCTTTGGAAATAAAATTGTATCGGAACACAGTCGTGTCCATTCATTTACACGTGGCTGCTTTTGTGGTACAACAGCAGAATTGAGTAGTTGTGACAGACACTGTAAGGCCCACAAAGCCTAAAATATTTACTATAGGGACCTTTGCAGAAAATGTATGTCAGAAATGAAAGACATAAATGTTGGAAAGGAAAAAGACTGGCTTTAATTTGTTTTCTTGCTTAAGTCCTAGGAGTCTATAAAATAACTATTAGAACTCGTAAATAAATTTAGAAAAGTTGGAGGGTATAAAACTAGTATTTAAAATATCTATTTCATTTTTGTATGTATTAGCAACAAACATTTGGAAAGTAATATTTTAAAAATATCATTAAAATAGCATTAGAAAAGATAAAATACTTAGAAATAAAATAATGAACAATGTATAGTACCTCTACACTGAAAACTAAAGAACGCTGCTGGAAGAAATTAAAAGAGAGCTACATAAAGAGACACATCATGTTCACCTATTTGTCAAAATAGATAAGATATCAATTTTTCCCAAATTTATTACAGACTTAATGCCATCCCAGAGAAAACTCCAGCAAGAGTTTTTAAAAAGATACTAACGAGCTAATTCTAAGATTTATATGAAAATGCAAAGCCGTCAGGCATAGTGGCGTGCACCTCTAGTGCCAGCTACTTGGGAGGCTGAAGCAGGAAGATTGCTTGAGCCCAGGATTTTGATGCTGCAGTGTGCTATGATAGCACCACTGCACTCCAGCCTAGGTGTCAGAGCCAAACCATCTTCAAAAAAAGAAGAGAAAGAGAAAGAGAGAGAGAGAGAACGAAGGAAAAGGATCTACGGCAGTCAAAACTGTCTTAAAAAAGAAAAGCCAAGTCAGATGTCTTACACTACATGATTTCCAGACTATGGTAGCCAACCTAGAAGATGGCCCCAATGACTGATCCCCACTTACTGATATTCACATCCTTGTGTAATGCCTTTCCACACTGCATCAGGGTTGGTCTGTGTGAACAACAGACTGTGGCAGAAGTGGTGGTATGTTTCTTCTGAGATTAAGTTATAAAAGACATGGTGACACCCATCTTAGTGTCTCTTTCTCTCTCTCATTCTCCCTTTCTGGCCACTGTTCTGAGGAAAGCCACATGCTCCATCATAAATAGCCCTATGGAGAGGCCCATATGATGAGGAACTGAAGCCCCTGAGCAAGAGCCGGCAAAGAATTGAGGCCTCTCCCAACAGCTACATTAGAGGGCTTGAAAGCAGACTCTCCAGTTTCAGTCCAACGTTCAGATGACTGCAACTCTGGGCAATAGCCTCCTTGCAACCTCATGAGACCCTGTGAGAGAACTACCCAGCTTGGCTGCTCTCAAATTCTCAACCCTCAGTAACGGTATGAAATGATAAGTGTTTGCTGTTTTGCACTGCTGCATTTGAAGATAATTTGTTATGTAACAAATAGATATATTTGCTATAGACAATGAATATAAAGATTTACTTTTAACCTACAGTAGTCAAGATGGTGTTGTATTGATGTAAGGCTTGGCAAGTAGATCAATGGAACACAAAAGACTCCAGAAATAGATATCACACACATATACTCAATTGATTTTTGACAAAGGCATCAATATAACTCAATAAGGAAAGAACTGTCTTTCCAAAAAATGACTCTAGAAGACAAATGGTCTTCACGATAAAACACAGAGAATATTTTGAAGTAAGCAAAGGTTTCTTAGGATAATAAAGGCTCTGTGATGGTTAATTAGGGGTCAACTTGACTGGACCGTGGGGTACCCAGATATTTGGCCAAACATTATTCTGGTGTGTCTGTGAGGGTGTTTTGGATTAGATTAACATTTGACTGGGCAGACTGAGTAGAGCATACTGCCTGCTCTCTTGTGATGCCCTTCATTCAATCGATTGAAGACCTGAATAAAACAAAAAGACTGAGTAAGAGGGGAGTTTTTTGGCCTGACTGCTTGAGTTGGGACTTGTCATCTTTTGCCCTTGGACTAGAACGTAAGGCCATCAGTTGTCCTGGGTCTCCAGCTTCAAATCTTGGGACTTCTCAGCCTCCACTAATAACATGAGCCAATCCCTTATATCAAATCTCTCTCACACGCACTCTCTCTCTCTGGCTCCCTATATGTGTATGTGTGTGTATACACACACACACACACACACGTATGCGCATGCACACACACACAAATACATAAATATGCTATTGGTTTTGAGAACCTTAATACAGGTACTGATCATAAAAGAAAATAAAATTGCCATATTGAATCTCATCAAAACTAAAAACTTCTGCTTCTCAAAAGCACCATTAAAAAATGAAAAAGCAAACCACAGAATGAGAGAAACATTTACTTAACAGGAGATTTGTATCTAAAATATATAAGGAATTCCAACAACTTAATAGTTAAAAAGATAAAACATTGCATTAAAAAATAGATAAAAGATTTGGACAGATACTTCATAAGACACAGAAACTCAGAAGCATATGAAAAAGTGCTCAATCTAATTATTCATCATGAATATGCCAATCAGAACAACAATGAGAAATTATTTCACACTGATTAAAATGGTTAAAAGTATGCACACAATGTTCAAACACCCAGATTGATAAAACAAATACTTCTAGATCTACGAAAAGACTTAGATAACCACACAATAATAGTGGAGGGCCTCAACACTCCGAGGAAAGCATTAGACAGATCAACACAGAAAACTAACAAAGAAATTCTGGACTTATATTCAACACTTGACTTAAATTCAACACTTGACTAATTGGGCATAATAGACATCTACAGAATACACCACCCATCAATCACAGAATATACGTTCTTCTCATCTGCACATGGAACATACTCGAAGATCCGCCATATGCTTGACCATAAGGCAAGTCTCAATAAATAAAAAAAATCAAAATTATACCAAGCATACTCTCTGACCACAGTGGAATAAAAATGTAAATCAATACCCAGATTTCTCAAAAACCACAAAATTACATGGAAATTAAACAACTTGCTCCCGAGTTACTTCTGAGTAAACAACAAAATTAAGACAGAAATTAAAAATTATTGAAATAAGTGAAAAAAGAGACACAACATATCAAAATGTCTAGGATGCAGCAAAAGCAGTGTTAGGAGGAAAGTTTATATGGCTAAATGCCTACACCAAGAAGTTAGAAAGATCTCAAATTAACAATCTAACATCACACCTGGAACTAGAAAGAAGGAACAAACTACTCCAAAGCCAGCCAAAAGAAAGAAATAAGTAAAACCAGAGAACATTGAGACCCAAAATGTCATACAAAGAATCAATGAAACTAAAAGTTATTTCTTTGAAAGGATAAACAAGATTGATAGACTGCTAGCTAGATTAACAAAGAAAAAAAAGAGAGAAGATCCAAAAAAGCACAATCAGAAATACAAAAGATCTTCAGAGACTACTATGAACATCTCTATGCATACAAACTAGAAAATCTAGAGGAAGTTGATACATTCTTGGAAACACACTCTCCCAAGATTGAACCAGGAAGAAATTGAAACCCTAAACAGACCTATATCAAGTTCCAAAATTGAATCAGTAATAATAATAAAGATAAAAACTTACCCACCAAAAAAAGCCTCAGACAAGAAAGATTCACAGTAGAATTCTTCCAGATATACAAAGAAGAGCTGGTACCAATTCTACTGAAATTATTCCAATAAATCAAGGAGGGACTCCTCCCTAACTCATTCTATGAAGCCAGCATCATTCTGCTACCAAAACCTAGAAGAGACACAGTGAAAAAAGAAAACTACAGGCCAGTATTCCTGATAAACCTAGTTGTGAAAATCCTCAGCAAGATACTAGTAAACCAAATCCAACAGCACATTAAAAAGTTAATTCACCAGCCAGGCACGGTGGCTCAGGACTGTAATCCCGGCACTTTGGGAGGCCAAGGTGGGCGGATCACGAGGTCAGGAGATCAAGACCATCCTGGCTAACATGGTGAAACCCCATCCCTACTAAAAATTAGCTGGGCGTGATGGCGGGCACCTGTAGTCCCAGCTACTCGGGAGGCTGAGGCAGGAGAATGGGGTGAACCCGGGAGGCAGAACTTGCAGTGAGCCAAGATTGTGCCACTGCACTCCAGCCTGGGTGACAGTATGAGACTCTGTCTCAAAAAAAAAAAAAAAGTTAATTCACCATGATGAAGTAGGCGTCATTCCTGAGATGCAAGGCTGATTCAACATACACAAATAACTGTGATTCACCACATAAACAGAATTTTTAAAAAAACACACACGATCATGTCAGTAGACGTGGATAAAGTTTCTGATAAAATTCGACATCCCTTCATGATAAAAGAAAACATCAAGAAACCAGCACAAGAGGAACATACCTCAAAATAAGAGCCATCGATGATAAACCCACAGTCAACATCACACTGAATGGGAAACCTGAAAGCATTCCCCTTGAGAACTGGCACACGACAAGAATGCCCACTCTTATCACTCCTATTCAACATAGTACTGTAAGTCTTATCCCGAGTAGTCAGTGAAGAGAGAGAGATAAAAGGCATTCAAATAGGAAAGGAAGAAGTCAAATGAACTTTCATCATGGATGATATGATTCTATACCTAGAAAACCCTGAAGTCTTCACCAAAAAGCTCCTGTACCAATAATAACACACCAATGATATTCAAGCTGAGAGCCCAATCAGGAATTCAATCCCATTTACAATAGCCACAATAAAATAAAATACCTAGGAATACATCTGCCCAAGGAGGTGAAAGATCCCTTCCAGAACTACAAACCACTAGCAAAAGAAATCATAGATGACACAAACAAATGGAAAGACATTCCATGCTCATGAGTTGGAAGAATCAATATTGTTAAAATGGTCATGCTGCCCAAAGCCATCTACGGAATCAACACTATTCCTTTAAAGCTACCAATGTCATTTTTCACAGAATTTTAAAAAACTATTCTAAAATTCATATGGAACAACAACAACAACAAAAGGCCAGAATAGCCAAAGCAATTCTAAGCAAAAAGGACAAAGCTGGAGGCATCACATTACCCAATTTCAAACTGTGCTATAAGGCTACAGTAACCAAAACAGTATGGTACTGGTACAAAAACAGACATATAGACCAATGGAACAGAATAGTGAGCCCAGAAATAAAGCTGCAGATCTATAGCCATCTGATCTTTGGCAAAGTTGACCAAGAAAAAGAAAAAAAATGAATGGGGAAAGGACTTCCTATTCAATAAATGGTGCTGAGATAGCTATCTAGCCATACGCAGAAGACTGAAACTGGACCCCTGCCTTTGGTCATATATAAAAATTAACTCGAGATGGATTAAAGATTTAAATGTAAGACCTCAAACTATAAGAATCCTAGAAGAAAACCTTGGAAACACCATTCTGAACATTGATCTTGGGAAAGAATTTTTGATTAAGTCCTCAAGAGCAGGGGTCCCCAACCTTTTTGACATCAGGGACCGGTTTTGTGGAAGACAATTTTTCCGTGATGATGGGGCAGGCAGGGTGTGGTTTCAGGATAAAACTGTTCCACTCAGATCGTCAGGCATTAGATTCTCACAAGGAGTGTGCAACCTAGATTCCTCTCATGTGTAGTTCACAATAGGGTTCACATTCCTATGAGAACCTAATGCCACTGCTGATCCGACAGGAGGTGGAGCTCAGGTGGTAATGCTCTCTTGCACCTCCCCTCCTGCTGTGCAGCCAGGTTCCTAACGGGCCACAGACCAGTACCAGTCCACAGCCCAGGGCTTGGGGAACTCTGCCCAAGAGCAATTTCAACAAAAACAAAAATTCACAAGTGGGACTTAATTAAACTAAAGAGCTTCTGCACAGCCGAAGAAACTATCAACAGAGTGAGCAGACAATCTACAGAATGGTAGAAAATATTAGCAAACTATGCATGCAACAAAGGTCTAATATTCTGAATCTATGAGGAACTTAAACAATTGAACGAGCAAAAAACAAATAACCGTATTAAAAAATGGGCATAAGACATGGACACTCCTCAAAAGCAGACATACAAGTGGCCAACAAACATGAAAAAATGCTCAACATCACTATACATCAGGGAAATGCAAATTAAAGCCACAATGAGATACCATCTCGCACCAGTCAGAATGGCTATTACTAAAAAGTCAAAAAACAACAGATGCTGCAGAATCTGCAGAGAAAAGGAAACACTTATACACTGTTGGTGGGAATATAAATTAGTTTAGCCACTGTGGAAAGCAGTTTGTAGATTTCTCAAAGAATTTAAAACAGAGATGCCATTCAACCCAGCAGTCCCATTACTGGATATTTACCCAAAAGAAAATAAATCATTTTACCAAAAAACACATGAACGCATGTTC